ATATGTTAATATAATTTAATGAATAGCATCTAATTTGTATTAATTTATTTCAGTTATCAAGTGGGAATCCTATATATGAAAAATACTATAAACAGGTAAGACTTTTGTTTCATTGTTTGCCTAGATTGAACATCAAGTGTACTGTCAACTCTTGATTGTATGCCTGTAGATTACTAGCTAGCTCGATAAATTTGGCGTGTCTTATTTTCAACTTCTTGTTTATAGCCTCCTACTTTGAGTACTTAATGCTTTTGACAAGTTCCCAGAGAAATGAAGAAAGATAATTAAGTCCAAGTACTTAGTTGTCTTAAATATCTGCACTGAAAATTTATACAGCATTTGATAAGATTTATTTAGGTATAAATATTCTAAATTCTTAAGACAAATAGAAATAACTTCTATGTTATTTTTAAGACTTATTAAAGCATAATTTTCACAAAGTGAAAAACATGACTTTTATACAAATGTGTAATGAGCATGTATCACAGATTTTATTTAACTCATTAATTACTGGTTAATTAGTACAAATATACAGCCTCTGGTCAGATATAAAAATGGAAATATGGTGGCCAACAAACATGAAAAAAAGCTCATCATCACTGGTCATTAGAGAAATATAAATCAAGGCCAGGTTTGATGGCTCACGCCTGCAATCCCAACACTTTGAGAGGCTGAGGTGGGCAGATCACGAGGTCAGGAGTTCAAGACCAGCCTGAACAATATGGTGAAACCCCATCTCAATAATAATAATAATAATAATAATAAAAAGGAGAAATGTAAATGATATAGAATGAGATGCCATCTCATGCCAGTTAGAATGGCGATCATTAAAAACTCAGGAAACATCCCTGGTGTCTAGCGGTTAGAAAAAAAAAAAGGAAACAACAGATGCTGGAGAGGATATGGAGAAAAAGAAATGCTTTTACACTGTTGGTGGGAGTGTAAATTAGTTCAACTATTGTAGAAGACAGTGTGGCAAGTCCTCAAGGATTTAGAACCAGAAATACCACTTGACTCAGCAATCCCATTACTGGGTATATACACAAAGGATTATAAATCATTCCACTATGAATACACATATATTTATTGCAGCACTGTTCACAGTAGCAAAGGCTTGGAACCAACCCAAATGCCCATCAGTGATAGACTGGATAAAGCAAATGTGGCACATATACACCATGGAATACTATGCAGCCATAAAAAAGGATGAGTTCATGTCCTTTGCAGGGATATGGAGGAAGCTGGGAACCATCATTCTCAGCAAACTAACACAAGAACAGGAAACCAAACATGTTCTCACTCATAAGTGGAAGTTGAACAATGAGAATGCATGGACACAGGAAGGGAAACATCACCCACCAGGACCTGCTTGGGGGTGGGGTAAGGAACTAGGGGAGGGATAGCATTAGGAGAAATACCTACTGTAGGTGAAGGGCTGATGGGCACAGCAAACCACCATGACACGTGTATACCTGTGTAACAAACCTGCATTTTCGGCACATGTGTCTCAGAACTTAGAGTATAATAATAATTTTTAAAAAATGTGCTAGGTGTAGTGGTATGTGCCTGTAATCCCAGCCACTCAGGAGGCTGAGGCAGGGGAATTGCTCTGTCTCAAAAAAGAAGAAGAAAAAAATCTGGTCAGGTGCAACCTCACACCTGTAATACCAACACTGAGAGACCGAGGCAGGATTGCTTGAGGCCAGGAGTTGAAGACCAGCCAGGGCAACATAGTGAGATCTTGTCTATGCCCTCAAAAAAAAAAAAAAAAAAATTAGCTGTATTTGGTGACACGTGCCTGTAGTTCTGGCTGCTTGAGAGGCTGAGGTGGGAGGATTGCTTGAGCCTGAGAGTTTGAGGTTGAGGTTGCAGTGAGCTGTGATCATGCCACTGCACTCCAGCCTGGGCCACAGTGAGACTGTCTCAAAAAAAAAAAAAAAAGTAAAATTGAAGAAAGAAGAGTGACATCTTCTGTACCTAGATAACTGACATAAAATACTAAAAGAAGGTTGCAAAGTGAAAACAAAACAAACAAAAAAAATGGGAATATGGCCAGGCACGGTAGCTCATGCCTATAATCCCAGCACTTTGGGAGGCCAAGAGAGGAGGATTACCTGAGGTCAGGAGTTTGAGACAGGCCTGGCCAACATGGTGAAACCCTGTCTCTACTAAAAATACAAAATTAACTGGGTTTGGTGGTGCATGCCTGTAATTCCAGCTACTCAGTAGGCTAAGGCAGGAGAATCACTTGAACCTGGGAGGTAGAGGTTACAATCAGCCGAGATTATACCACTGCCCTTCAGCCTGGGCAAAAAGAGTAAAACTCCATCTCAAAAAAAAAAAAAAAAAAGAAAAAAAAAGAAAAAATGGGAATAGGAGTTATAGAGATTTATATTCGTCACCAGACAATATTTATTTGTGTTGGTATGGATTGGTATGGACATGAGTCACTTGCATTGCTATCAGTTTCTATTAACTTCTACTCCCTCAGAGTATAAAGTAGTCTATACAGTAGAAAGTCATCAAGGGTGCATACCATAGAACTTTGATAATTTCTTGACAGTGTAAACAATCTTATTTGCCCATTTTCAAGTATTGGATTATTTTTTCTAACAGTCTCCTTACCTTATGATTATGATCACAGAAAAGGCTGGTTTCATTTTATCTGGCCTGGCTGTTTACATAGTTGCAGCAAGTATTAATTAAACATTATAGGCCTCTTTGGTTTTGACTTGCAAATTCAGAGCTATAAACTATTTAGCAACTTCTAAGGTCAGAGAATAATTTCTGCTTGAAAAATATCAACAATCTCAGACTGTGCTTTTTAATGCCCCTGTTATGTTTGTTCTCTATTTTCAGGCTAGGCTCCAAACCTTAGAAATTCTCTCCAACATATTTCACCTTCCGTATATAAAAATTTGAGTAAATTTATCTCGTTTTGAGGTTTTCCAGATTTGCTAAGGTTCCTAGTCTGCTGGAAAGTGACCTTACTTCACTACCTGTGAGGCTGGGACTTTGTAAAACCAGCCCAGTTTTCTTGGGAGATCTTTTTGACACTGGTGCCACATAAAGTCAGTACTTGTTCTTTAATCTTTGAATAAAAGAAAGTCATTCTCATATAATGGCCTTGTTTTACACAATTGGCTCATCCAATTACATCCTGATAAGAAGAAAAACAAATTGTTATTGAACCCACATAATAACTATATTGCTGTAAAGAGTAAAAACATTTCATAAAAGTATTTGTTTTTGAATTCTGAGGGATCAGTGAGAACTAGATACTATTGAAAAGTATTTCATTCAGTTTACAAAAGGAGAGGCTGCTAAGTTGAGGGTCTCAGAAAGGGCTTATGCACATAGCTATTAGAAAATAGAACATTAAAATAATACCAACAGTATTCCAAGTAAATAACCATAATTAAATTTTTCTCAACAGTTCATTAAGTCCTGTGTAATTAATTCTTGTTCAGCTGAATCTTGGGTTAGAAGTCTGCTTTTATGAAGTACATCATCTTACAGACTGAAAAGAGACCTGGAAATCCTGACTTCATCTACCAATATGGTCTGAAAGTAGTGTGATATCAGCTGCAAAGTCTTTATTCAAAAATTCACTTTTTGAAGTGTTAATAATTCAGAATATGTATATCTTATAGATACAGACTATATCAAAAGTATAGTCATTTTCATGAGGCTCTGAGACTCTTTGTTGAAGATATACCAGCTTCTGGCTTATAGCTTCTAGCCCTGCCTTTGGCAGAGCCTTTAGGCAAGCATCAGAAACTACCTGTAGATGACAAAGACTAAATGTTTATATTATTAGGGTAATCAAAAGAATGGAAGATGGTAAAATTCTTTATTGGGTTACAATATATAATTGTTTCATAAGAGTTTGATCAATGTTTCCCCTGAATGCTTCTGTATTTAGGTTATATTGGGTATGGATATTTGTTTTCTACACTGATCAGGAAGTAGGCAAAGAAAAGGAGTTCTGGAGAATTCTACAGGCAGGTTTCCCAACCCCTTGTATACTTCCTCTTATTCCAAATTTGAAGGATTAGGCCATTTTTTTTCTTTTTTGTCAAGTGCTTCATTTATCCCATGTTCTACCACTTGAAAGAAAGGGTTTCCCTTTTGCTTCTTTGACAGGATTGGACTGTCTAGAATGCTTTGTATCATGTATGTTTACAGTAAACTTAATCTTTAAACTGGAGAAACAGCTATCTCACAAGTGAAGTAGTGTTCTGTTACCTTTCCCATGACTTTTTAAAATGTACTTTTCATTTTTACAAATCGAACCTCTGGAAATCTTTACGAAAATTAGTCATTTTTTTTTCTTTTCTTCTTCTTCTTTTTTTTTTTTTTTTCCTGTTCTTGTGACCTCATTCTGTCTTAAAGGAAAGTCCCCAGTTAAAATGCTATGTTCCCTAATGTATTTTAGAAACTTAACAGCTTTAAAAATGTTTCTTCAAGTTTATTATGGAATCACTGCTGGTTTTAGAGCTGCTATTGCTTTGATTTGTTTTAAAGTGCTGCAGTTTCTAACAGTAGGTATAAAAGCAAAAATTGATGATTTAAAGATGTTTGAAGAAGGACATAACATGTACAACTATTCCCATTTGTCAAAAGACCTCTGTAGGAAATGCTGCCCTTTTCTTCATAAGAGCCATTTAATTGGAATTTAAATGACAACTGTAGAAGATGTGTGTTGATGTTACAACTCCATGAATTTGCTTTGACATCCTCTGAGCTTCACTTTTCTCATTTGTATAGTAGGCATGATTAAAAAAAAAAGAAAAAAACACTTTGTAAATTGCCAGTGCTGTCTAGATAGTACTCTACTCATATGTCTCTCCACATATTCCCTGGCCCGTGGTAGTCAAAGGATTCTCGTTCCTTTCTTGCAAAAGCCAGCTCCCAAATCACAGGGATGGAAGGCAGGTAAATGGTCCTAATTTTGTCTTTGTATTTTGTTGTCAGCTTGTGGATTTCTATCTTTTCAGGTGGATACCAGCAATACTGGAAGGGTGTTGGCTTCTGATGCTGCTGCTTTCCTGAAAAGATCAGGGCTTCCAGACTTGATACTTGGAAAGGTAGTATTTGTTCATTAAAACTAGATTATGAGATTGTAAGCAATATATACTATAGGTGAACTGGATGAAAATTTAGAAAGATACCATCAAATTTAGAAGTTAGAACTGAGTCATAGAAGCCATTTTAATAATAGGATGAAGGGAATTTGTAGCGTAGTGATTTACCCTTTTGAAAAGTAAAGGGTTTTTCAGATTTTTAGAAACAAGCTACTTTTTAGTAGGATGAAATGAGGAAGTAATAAGTACATTTGGTGGGGAGAAACAGTGAAGACTGGGAATCTTGCCACACACTCAAAGACTTGGCTCTGTCCCTACTTCCTCTGTTATAACTGTCTCTGTTTAATGTGTGGTGAATAGAGTGGGGGATGAGAGGCTTTAAAAAGAGCACAAAGAGGTGGAAAACCCCTCTCCTGTCTATTCCTTAAATGTGATATTGATACATATTCAAAATCCTGAAAAATAACCACTATTAATAATTTAATTAATCACAAATAAGCATTAATCATCTCAACTTGCATATAGAAAAGAATATCTTAAGGATCTAAAATCAAGAATAGTATGTATGTTCTAGTAGAAAGAGCACTGGACTCAGAGTTAGAACTTGGACTAGTGAAAAAGGCATTTGACTGGAAGTTAGAACTTGGGCTTCAGTTCTTTCCCTGGTGCTTTGAATGTTCTTGAGCCAAGTCACTTACCCTCATTGGGCCTTACTATCTTTGTGAAGGGTTGCACCGAATCTGGGGTGCCCAATCTTTTGGCTTCCCTGGGCTACATTGAAGGAAGAAGAATTGTCTTGGCCCACACATAAAATACGTTAACACTGACGATAGCTGATGAGCTGTAAAACAAAAAAGTACAAAAAAACCTCATAATTTCTTAAAGAAAGTTTATGAATTTGTGTTGAAACACATTCAAAGTTGTCCTGGGCTGGCTTGTGGGCTGCGAGTTGGCCAAGCTTGCATAAATGATCTTTAAGATTTCTTTCCACTCCTAATTTTTTGATTCTTAGATCTGGTTACCAAAGAGCTTGAGGTTGTAAATTGCAGAGATTTAATTTGTCATTCAGATGGCTTTTGTTTAAAGTATACATTGATATTTTTTTCCCCCTAAATTTCAGATTTGGGATTTAGCCGACACAGATGGCAAAGGTATCCTGAACAAACAAGTAAGTTTTAGATATTCATATGAATTTTTTTTTGAGTCATTCAAAATAAAAAATAGCCAGCAGGGTTTTTGTTTGTTTCTTTTCTTCTTCTTCTTCTTTTTTTTGAAGCTAAGAATTGGTTTTTACCAACATTAGGGTTTTGCCTAGGGCAAGTGTGTAGCAATGAAAATATTTCCAGTCACTGAATGTTAATATAAGTTTTAACACTTAGTGTTAATTTGGTGACATTGTTCTCCTGGAGTTTATTTTTCTGTCTTTCAGCAAGACTTTGCTCTTTAATTTTTCTAGTTACATAGGGTTATAAGTAAAAGTGAATTTTATTAAGTAAGTGTTAGGATGGTATTGCATAGTAGATTTAAAAGGAAGCTCTTGGTTAATCATATGTGAGATATGAGTATTATGGTCTAGGTCTTACCCCTGATACGTAAAACAAAAAATGGTTGCAAGCCAGAAGTAGATGCTTGACCGGAATACACAGAAGTGGTTACAGCCAAGGTTGTTGAACATCATCAGTGTACTCTCTAGTTCTGATTGCTGGGGATAGATTTCAGAGTTGTATAAGGATTGAATTCCAAGTTTGCTGAGTGCCACTACTCAAAGTTAGCCCTCCTCCCCACCCCCTGGCATAACTGAAGCAGGATCAGAACCAGATATTGGAGAAATTTGATGACAGGGTCAGAATACCCAGTCTTTTAATTAAGATTTCAGGGCCAGATTGTAGTCTTCATTCGCGTCTCTGGGGAGAAGGGCTGCTTTAGTGTACTGGAGGCATAGGAAAACAAAATTTGTGTGGGCCCACCTAGGTGCCATGTACTCAGTCAGCAAATATTTCTTGAGTATCTATGATGAGCCAAGCTTTCAAAATATAAAGGTGAGCATGATACTTGTGGTCACTGTCTTAAGGTTTTATAGTATAATAAATTCTTCACTGATAACTCTTGGATTTTAGATATTGAGTTTGAGTTGCTTTATTATTTCCAGGTGGCTTGATTTATGGGTCTGCAGTTAAACTTTGAATTTCCATTGGAGGCATACTTTTTTTTTCCCTGGAGTGCAGTGATGTGATCTCGGCTCACTGCAACCTCTGCCTCTAGGGTTCAAGGGATTCTGCCATCTTTGCCTCCCGAGTAGCTGGGATTACAGGCATACACCACCACACCCAGCTAATTTTTTAATATTTTTAGTAGAGCTGGGGTTTCACTATTTTGGCCAGGCTGGTCTTAAACTCCTGACCTCGAGTGATCCACCCTCCTCAGCCTCCCAAAGTTCTGGGATTACAGGCATGAGCCATCGCACCTCACCTAGATTTCTTAATTAACATATGAATGAAAGAAAAGAAACCAATACTTAGTGAATTTCCATGTGACAAAAATGACACTAGGCACTTTTCTCCAGTAGCATGGTTTTTATTTTATTTGTCATAATACATTGCCAGGTAGGTATTAGCCCCCCTTTTATGGAAGGGTTTTAACTGGCCCATGGCCTCACTAAGTAACAGAACTAGAATTTAATGCAGAATTATTTCACTTCATAGCTCATCCATACCATGGTAATAGACTTGATTACTTAAGAGCAATTGAATCTCAAATAGAGTGAGAAAAGAAAGAGGGTCATGTTAGAATACTTAGAATACCAGCAGTTAGAGAAGACTTTGACTCCAACAGAAGAGACTTGAAAGTTCAGAGGAGAACTAGGAGGGTTTTGTGAAGCTGTTTTGGTGGAGGAGAGCTTCCGGGAGGATACTTTCCCAGGCTGCAAAGAGAATAAGCAGGTGAGGCTTTTTTTTTTTTTTTTTTTTAAAGGCTATTATATTTGGTAGCTAGGAGATTATTTGTGACATAGGCAGTAGTTTCTCTAGCTGATCATGGGAGTTGGAATCAGATTGCACAGAAGGTTGTGAAATGAATGAGAAGAAAAGGGGATATCTTGAAGTAGTGGTTTTTTTTTTTTTTTTTTTTTTTTTTTTTTTTCAAGAAATGAGTGAAGGCAAGGGATTGTATAAAGCAGACAACCTGCAAGGTGATAAGAATGGATTACGAATTGGGTATGAAGGGTATAGGGGGAGAATATGGGATTTGAGAAAAGTAGTGAAGGGTTAATTACATCAGCAACTATACTAAGATATTGACAGGTTGGACAAATTGTAACTGGAGTAAAGGCTTTTGTTATCCTGTCTATTCCCAGATACTAACTAAAAACAGCTGAAAACCAGTTGCTTCGGCTTCTTTGCATTTATTTATTAGGTTTTGGACTAAGACTTTAAATGCTAAAAATCCAAGGACTTTTGGGAGAGATTTATAAGTATTTTGAGGTTAAGCAGTTACGTAATCTTTTTAGATGTTACACAGTTATTTTCTGTAGTTTTTCTGGAATAGCAGTGATTGAGTCATTTGAATTACTGTTCCAGTTTCAAAATTTATAATGTCACAATCCAGAGATGACTTTTAATGACATTTTAGGTATTATTTTCTTCTGGGCTTTTTTTCTAATTATTTTTTTCTCATTTAAATCATAAAATACATCTCTTAATATCATTAAATATTCTTTGATTTTTTTTTTTTTTTTTTTTTAGTTTGTTTTTTGAGACAGAGCCTCACTCTGCTACCCAGGCTAGAGTGCGGTGGTGCTGTCTCAGCTCACTGCAACCTCTGCCTTCCAGGTTCAAGTGATTCTCCTACCTCAGCCTCCCGAGTAGCTGGGACTACAGGTCCATGCCACCACAACTGGCTAATTTTTATGTTTTTAGTAGTGACAGGGTTTCTCCATGTTGGCCAGGCTGGTCTCCAACTCCTGACCTCAAGTGATCCACCTGCCTTGGCCTCCCAAAGTCCTGGGATTACAGGTGTGAGCCACTGTGCCCAGCCCTAAGTATTATTTTAAACATGAATATTCTGTATGATTTTCACTATCTGTATGTATTTTCCCATTTATATAATTATTAGCGATTTATAAATATTGGAACATCTTTGTACATAGGGTTTTTCTGCATTTTAAAGCAGATGTTTTTGAAGCAAATATGCTACTTGTTGTTACTTAAAAACTCTGTGGTGATTATGAATTGTTTTATATTTTTAGATTGTAACTATGTGTGCAGATAGGTAAGTAGGTAGAAGGAGAATGCTCTTAACATTCATATTTTTCTTTCTTAGGAATTCTTTGTTGCTTTGCGTCTTGTGGCATGTGCCCAGAATGGATTGGAAGTTTCACTAAGTAGTTTGAACTTGGCTGTTCCACCACCAAGATTTGTAAGAAATGCTTTTAGATTTAAATTGTTTAATTTTTAAAAAGTGACACCATGTTATTTGAAAATTAAAAGCAATATATTAAAATGAATTCTCCCTTTGGCGCTTTCACTCAGCTACCTGGCTTTTTTTTTTTTTTTTTTTTTCCCTTACTAGCTACTGCTGTTTTTAGTTAGTTTCTTGTGTATCCTTCCAAAGTTATTATATGTGTATGTAAAGAAATAGAGGCTGGGCGAGGTGGCTCATATAATCCCAACTCTTTGGGAGGCAGAAGTGAGAGGATCACTTGAGCCCAGGAGTTCAAGACTAGCCTGGGAAACAAAGCAAGACCCCATCTCTACAAAAATTCTAAAATTTAGCCGAGTGTGTTGGTGTGCATGTCTGGTCCCAGCTACTTGGGAGGCTGAGATGGGAGAATCATTTGCGCCTGGGAGTTCAAGGCTACAGTAAGCCGTGGTCACACTGCTGCTCCCTAGCTTGGTTGATGGTTCAAGACCCTGTCTTTAAAAGAAAAAAGAAATATAAATATGTATTTTCTTATTTTACATTCATTGTAGCATACTGCATATTAATGGTCCCCAACCTTTTTGGCACCAGGGACTGGTTTCATGGAAGACTATTTTTCCATGGACCTGGGAGGGATGGACGGTTTCAGAATGAAATTGTTCCACCTCATCGTTAGGCATTAGATTCTTATAAGTAGCATGCAACCTAGATCCTCACAAGTGCAGTTCACGATAGAGTTTGTGCTCCTATGAGAGTCTAATGCCGCCGCTGATCTGACAGGAGTTGGAGCTCAGGCCGTAATGCTTGCCTGCCAGCTGCTCACCTCCTGCTGTACAAGCTCAGTTCCTAACAGGCCGAAGTTTTAGAGGTATTTACGTATCATTACATAAAAGCTTCTGCTTTGTTTTTCATAGCTGTGTAGTATTTCTTTGCCTGTGTTTATAATTAACTTTCTATTGATAGGCTTTTTATTTTGAATCTTTTATTATAAAAAATGCTGCAGTGAATAATAACCTTGTTTATGTGTTATTTCGCATGTGCTAGAATATATTTATGTGTCAATTCCCAAACGTAGAAATGCTGTTCAAAAGTTTTTGTCTTTGTAATTTCTATGTATATTGTCAACTTGCTTTCCATAGTGGTTGTACTAGTTCACCCTCCCTCCAGCAATTGTTTGAGTGCCTGTTTCTGTACACTTTTGCTAGCATACTTAAACTTTTAGATCTTTGTAAGTTTGATAGGTGACAGGTAGTATGTAATTTTAAATTTATCCTTTTAGTTTTATGGAGTAAGGTTGAATAGCTTTTCTTATGCTTATAAGAATAGCTTTCTTATAAGCTTTTATGTTTACATTGCATTGCCTTTATGTGAATGTTTATAGCTTTTGCCCATTTTTGTTGGATTGTTGCTCTTTTACTTATTGAATTCTAGGGCCTCTTTAATTATTAGGGCATTAACTCTTTGTCTATATGAGTTGCAAGTCTTTTTTTCCTATTTTGTCATTTGTCTTATTTTTTCGAAGAGACAGGATCTTGCTATGTTGCCCAGGCTAGCTTTGAATTCCTGTGAATAAACGATGCTTCTGCCTTAGCCTCCCAAATAGCTGGGACAATGGGCATGTAGTACTGAGCCCAGTTTATTATTGTCTTTTATGTAAATAAATTGTCAGGTTAAAAAAAAATTTTTTTTTTTTTTTTTTTTTTTTGAGACGGAGTTTCGCTCTTGTTACCCAGGCTGGAGTGCAATGGCGCGATCTCGGCTCACCGCAACCTCCGCCTCCTGCGTTCAGGCAATTCTCCGGCCTCAGCCTCCTGAGTAGCTGGGATTACAGGCATGCGCCACCATGCTCAGCTAATTTTTTGTATTTTTAGTAGAGACGGGGTTTCACCATGTTGACCAGGATGGTCTCGATCTCTCGACCTCGTGATCCACCCGCCTCGGCCTCCCAAAGTGCTGAGATTACAGGCTTGAGCCACCGCGCCCGTTTTTTTTTTTTTTTGTTTTTTTTTTTTTTTTTTTTTTTTTTGCATTTAAGTTAGTGTTGATGTAAGATTTGAGTATAGATTCCATTTTTTTTTTTTTTTTTTTTTTGAGACAGAGTTTTGCTTTTGTCATGCAGGCTGGAGTGTAATGGTGCAATCTTGGCTTACTGCAACCTATACTTCCTGGGTTCAAGCAGTTCTACTTCCTTACCCTCTGGAGTAGCTGGGATTATAGGCGCCTGCCACCACGCCTGGCTAATTTTTTTTTTTTTTTTTCTGGTAAGAGACGGCATTTCAACATGTTGGTCAGGCTGGTCTTGAACTCCTGACTTCAGGTGATCTGCCCACCTTGGCCTCCCAAAGTTCTGGGAATACAGACGTGAGCCACCACACCGGGCCTAGATTGAAAAGTATAGCCAATACAGTTTATTAAATAATCCATCTTTCTCTTCCTATCTTTTCATTCCCTTTGAAATGCCACCTTGATTGTGTGCTAAATTCTCATATGTATTTTAGTTCCTTATTGGATATTTTTTGCTCTTACCTGTGTTTATCCATACCATATGCTGATGTTAACAGTTTTAATTTTCATATTTGGTGACATGCTTTTAAATTCTAATATGAGAAGTTTTCTCCACCTCACTCCTTTCCCCCCACCCCAGATATTTTATGGCTCCTCTTGCTTGTTTTTTTTTTTTTTTTTTTTTTTTTTTTAATTTTAAGAGATGGTCTTATTCTGTTGCCCAGGCTGGAGTACAGTGCTGTGATCATAGGTCACTGTAACCTTGAAGTCCTAGGCTCAAGTGATCCTCCCCAGTAACTAGTTGCTTGTTTTTAAACTCAACATTTTAGAAGTTTTTGGTCTGCATACTAAGAATTTAATTTCTTAAGTTTGGAGAATTTCTGCACTTTTATGTTTAGGCATGTAATCAGAAGGTTAATTCAGAGATTTGTTGCCTACCTGTATTATAGCCATGCATTGCTTAACAACAGGGATACATTCTGAGAAAGGCATCATTGTGCAAACATCAGAGTGTATTTTACACAAACCTAGATAGTATAACCTATAGCATACCTGGGCTGCATGGTATATAGCCTGCTGCTCCTAGCCTACAAACTTACGCAACACTGAATACCACACTGTACGAATGCTGTAAGCAGTTGTAACATGATGATATTTGTGTATTTAAACAGAAAAGGGCCCGGGCATGGTGGCTCATGCCTGTAATCTCAGCACTTTGGGAGGCCAAGGTGGGCAGATCACCTGAGATCAGGAGTTCAAGACGAGCCTGGCCAACATGGTGAAATGCCCTCTCAACTAAAAATACAAAAATTAGCTGGGCATGGTGGTGCGCACCTGCAATCCCAGCTACTTGGGAGGCTGAGTCAGTAGACTCACTTGAACCTGGGAGATGGAGGTTGCAGTGAGCCAAAATTGTGCCACTGCACTCCAGCCTGGGTGACAGAGCAGGACTCCATCTCAAGAAAAAACAAACAAACAAAAACCAGAAAAGGTACAGTAAAAATAGGATATTATAATCATTTTTTTTCATCGTTACTTAGATGAAGGTCTAGTAAATGTAAAATAGTGTCCTCTGTGCATTGAGATCCAGCATTTTGTATGAATATATTTAAATCCAAAAATCATTTTTTCTTCATTGCTTCTTGATGTGAGGATTTCAGCTTTTCTTCTGCTTTACTTTCCTTTATAGCATGATACCAGTAGTCCTTTGCTAATCAGTGGAACCTCTGCAGCTGAGCTCCCATGGGCTGTAAAAGTAAGTAAACTTTGTAACTATTCTCTCACCGCTGCATTGCTTCCTATCCACATATATTCTCTCTGCCTCTGAAATGTATTGCTATCAGCATTAGACTTTCATATACATGTTTAAGGAAAGGTAGGGGAGATGCTGTTACTGTTGTTACTGAGGGATCTTTCAGCTCTGTCAGTTGTTTTGTGACAGTATTGGTCTAATCTTATATCTGTTATAATGTAAACAAAAATGATGATGTATTAACAAATATTTGATTAAAAGACAGTTTACCCCACTGGTATTATTTCTTACTTAAAAATTCAGGTTAACTATGTATTTTCTATATGACTCTGTAAAACAATTCTTTATGAAATCTTTGTGGAATAGATATTTTGTGTTATAGCTTTTCAGAGGTAAATCATATCTTACTAGCTTTTTAAAACTTATAATTTAAAAATACTTAGACTATAGCAGATCAAATGAGCTTTGATAAATGTACAGTTTTTTTGAAAACCATTTTTATTTGTATGTCCTTGTATGCTGGGGACCATGCACTTATTTTTCAAAGTCTGGGAATATGGCCTTGAGTAGGCAAATAATGAACAATAGTTTTTAATGTTATACAAATAACTTTTAAATTTTAGGAGGTATCTTGTTATTTACAAGAAAAATAATTGCTTTGGGAAAAATGGAGAAGTCTTGATGTTTATTTCTCTAGCAATTATTTTATTTTTAAAATTTTATTTGTGGCTCATGCCTGTAATCCCAGCACTTTGGAGGCCAAGGCGGGTGGATCACAAGGTCAGGAGTTCAAGACCAGCCTGATTAACATAGTGAAACCCCATCTCTATTAAAAATACAAAAAAATTAGCCGGGTGTGATGGCAGGAACCTGTAATCCCAGTTACTTGAGAGGCTAAGGCAGGAGAATCACTTGAACCTGGGAGGTGGAGGCTGCAATGAACTGAGGTTACACCGCTGCACTCCAGCCTGGGTGACAGTGCAAGACTCTGTCTCAAAAGAAAAACATTATTTGTTTGAACTGTACCTCACACCATCTTTTGAGAGTCATAGAATGTCACTAATTAGCTGTGTGTTCTTATAAAAGTTACATTTTGCCTGTGGGTCTATTTAAGTGAGAGAGTTGGACTAGATGTATTTTCTACCTCTGAAGCATTTTGATTCTAACCCAATAGTTGGAAAATAAAGATGGTGTTCCAGCTACAAAGAGAATGGGCAACACTAGACTCTTGAGTAAAGTCACTTTGAAATTATTATTTCCTATGTATTTTTTTCTTGCATATCTTTATAATAAATATTTTGATGAAAGTGAAAAATATTTTTTAAAAATATATTCTTTAAGGACTTGATTTTTATAGCTGCAGTTAAATCCTTTTCTCTATTATTTAACTTATGATTTTTGTTTATGTTGTAGCCTGAAGATAAGGTCAAATATGATGCAATTTTTGATAGTTTAAGCCCAGTGAATGGATTTCTGTCCGGTGACAAAGTGAAACCAGTGTTGCTTAACTCTAAGTTACCTGTGGATATCCTCGGAAGAGTAAGCTATTATTTACTTCTAAATGTAATTTTTACGTATTTTAATTTTATATCTGTAATACAAGGAGCATGTATAGCTCTGTTAAAAATATACAAATCTTATTTTAAAGTTGTATCATTACAGGGTTTTTTTGTTTTCTGACTTAATATATAAAATTATTGCCAACTCATTTCTGTATTTGGTTATTCCCTGTAAAATATGAGTGGTTGAAATTAGTTACATATGTAAGCCCCTTACATAGGTCCTTTTTTAGTTTGTGCTGTACACTCTTGACCTCCTCCTATATGCTTGAGTTAATTTCTAGAGACCGTCAGTATTTTATGTCTGCTACTTACTCTGTGGCTGTTATCATGGTGTCTTGTTTTAAGGAATAGTTTTATCTCTGAAATCATAAATTCTACTCTTGAACTTGTCCTTCCTCTCTTTATAGAGCCCTTTTCCAGAAAATTGCAAGACTTTAATTCTTTGACTAGTTTTACTAAGATCTTTAAATCTGGCTTCTTTACTTTGCCTCTTTTTTTCAATTTTTCTACTGTGATAAATATAGATACCATGAAATTTAACATCTTAACCAATTTTAGGTGTACAGTTCAGTGGTATTAACTACATTTACATTATTACGCAACTATCCTCACTATCCATTGCCATAATTCTTTTCCTTCTGTGAAAGTAAAACTTTATTCCCCTATCTTTTGGTCTACAGTTTTGTGTCTATCCTTAGCTCCCTTTGCCGTGTTGTTATTCTCTCTGATTGGAAAAAGTGTGAAGTAAATTATCTGCCTTCTCTATGGTGCATGTGGACTACTGAGCAGGTGTAGTAAGATTGGTGTCATTGTAAATTTATCATCACCAGCTTCAGCTGGGTGTCTCCATCCTGCCAGTCACACTTGTGCTGTTTCCATAGTGATTTCTCCATAACCTTCTTCATATTTCAAACCTTATCTACCCTCTTTAAACCTCTTGCCCTTTAATTCCCTGCTTCAGCAGATTACATAGGGTCAAATCCTGGCTGTACCACTTCTGAGCTGTGTGACCTTGGGCAAGTCGTTAGAAAACCGTGGCTCAGTTTTCTAATCTTTAAAAGGGGCATAATTTCCAGCTTACAGAATTGTAGGGATCGAATGTGATAATGTATGTTAAGTCTTAACTTATTACCGTGATTGCTGCATACTCTTTGAATGCTAGCTGTTATGATGATGATGATGATGACAATGACAACCACCATACTACCAGTACTAGTACTACTACTGGATCAATGTTATATAGATTTTAGGTGCTCAATAAATACTGATTTAAATGCCATTTCTTAGTATTGTTTGCAACAAATTATTTCTCCCTGTGTGATCAGTGTGACATTTCTAAACTATAAATACACTGTTATTTTATTACTTAAACCTAACCTGTTAGTAGTTTTCCATTGCATTTAGAATAAAGTCCAAACTCCTTTCAAGGTAATTATAACCAGATACTTTCTTATCTACACTTTTAACATTCCTCTGTTGCCCAGGCTGGAGTGCAGTGGTATGTAATAGTTCACTGCAGCCTTGATCTCCTGGGCTTAAGGGATTCTCCCATCTCAGCCTCCTGAGTAACTTGGATTACAGGTAGACACCACAATGCCCAGCTAATTTTTAATTTTTATCTTTTATAGAGATGGAATCTCGTTTCCCAGGCTATTCTCAAACTCCTAGGCTCAAGTAATCCTCCTGCCTTGGCCTCCCAAAGTGCTGGGAGGCCATATGGGCATGAGCCACCATGCTTCGGTAGTATACTTTCTTTTCCTGCCCTCAAGTACCACATGAACTGAAAGAAAATTAATTTTTTTCAATTCTTCCCTTTTTCAGGTTTGGGAATTGAGTGATATTGACCATGATGGAATGCTTGACAGAGATGAGTTTGCAGTTGTAAGTAATCTAATGCACTTAAAATCTTTACTATCTTAATGATTTTCTCATGTGCAAATTTCCTCTTTTAGTTCATCCTTAGAGGAAAACTATATCCCCATCAGATTATTGGATGAACTTTTTTTTTTTTTTTTGAGACAGGGTCTTACTCTGTCACCCAGGCTGGAGTACAGTGGCACTATCCTTGCTCACTGCAACCTCTGCCTCCCAGGTTCAAGTGATTCTTGTGCCTTAGCCTTCCAAGTAGCTGGGATTACAGGTGTGTGCCACCACACCTGGCTAATTTTAGTATTTTTTGAAGGAATGGGGTTTTGCCATGTTGGCCAGGCTGGTCTCGAACACTTGACCAAAGTGATGCACCTGCCTCAGCCTCCCAAAGTGCTGGGATTACAGGCATGAACCACCATGCCCAGCTGCTTGAACATTCTTATCTAAAATTTATAGACAGTCAATAAATATTTTCTAAACAAATTGATAACAGAAAATGTGTTTTGCTATCTTCATTTTCTTTGGCTTTAAGGTACATAGGAATATATACTTTGTATAATTACTGTAAAGATAGTATCTTTTGTATCATAACCTGACCATGTATCTCAGGTATCTTAGTACCTGCTTCTGTTATGGAATAATTTTGCTTCAAATGTATCCCCCAAATTATGAAGGCAGAAAAGTGTTGAGATCTTATCTGAACACATGTCATCTTAGTAATTGAATAGTTAATTCCAAATTGGATTGTATTCACCTCTTCCTTAAAGGTTTGATAAAACTTTGCTGTGAATTCATCAGTGGTCAATTTCTAATTCCTCTTTCACTCTAAAATTTTCTCTCTTTGTATTTTGGTAAGGAATTGTTCATTTCTTTTACTTTCAAACTTGTTGCAACAAATTTGCGGTATTCTTTCGTGGTGGTTCTCTTTACTCATTCCAAATCTTGGGAATACTCCAACTTTTTTTTTGCTTAATCTTATTTTGTCTAGTTTATTGGTCTGTTTGAAGAACCATCTTTTGAACTTACTTATCCTTTCTATTATGTGTTTACTTTTTATTTAATGATTTTTAACTTTTAATTCCCTGTTGTAGTTTCTTACTCTTTTTATTTTAAATTGCTTGAAGATAGGCTGGGCATGGTGGCTCACACCTGTAATCCCAGCACTTTGGGGGCCCGAGGCAGGTGGATCGTGAGGTCAGAAGTCCAAGACCAGCCTGGCCAAGATGGTGAAACCCCATCTCTACTAAAAATACAAAAAATCAGCTGGGGACAGTGGCAGGTGCCTGTAATCTCAGCTACGTGGGAGGCTGAGGCAGGAGAATTTCTTGAACCCAGGTGGCAGAGATTGCAGTGAGCTGAGATTGTGTCACTGCACTCCAGCCTGGGCGATAGAGTGAGACTCTGTCTCAAAAAACAAAATTTCTTGAAGATGAGTATTACATTTCTTCAGTACTCATTATCTTCCTTGAATACCTGTTTAGTGGGATTCCGTAGATACTGGTTTTGGTTGAAAGTTTTTCTCCATTATAAAACTTTTGAGATTTTTTAGTTTTCTTTTATCATCTGGTTAGGAATAATTTCAAAATGGCCAAGTTTGGTTGTTTTTTGTTACTTTGATATATACTTTTAACTTGATTGGATTATAACGAGAAAAATGTAGTCTGTAAAATGTCTAATTTAAAAAAATTAGCTAAGACGTTATTTGTTGGCAAGTTTATGACCTATTTTTACATATATTCCATGGATATGTCAGTATTTCTATTTGGAGGATATTAGAGTTTTATAACTCCATTATATCAAATTTTATTTTATTTTATTATTTTTATTTTTGAGATGGAGTATTGGTCTATTGCCCAGGCTGGGGTGCAGTGGTGTGATCTTGACTCACTGCAACCTCTGCCTCCTAGGTTCATGTGATTCTTCCACTTCAGCCTCCTGAGTAGCTGGAATTACAGACATGCACCACTATGCCTGGCTAATTTTTGTATTTTTAGTAGATCTGGGGTTTCAACATGTTGGCCAGGCTGGTCTTGAGCTCCTGACCTCAGGTGATTCACCTACCTGCCTTGGCCTATCAAAGTGCTGGGATTACAGGCATGAGCCACCACACCCAGCCTCAAATGTATTGATTATTTAGTCTTTGTCCTTATTTGTTTTTTGTTTTTAGCCCTTCCATAAATTTTCCTCATTTCCTTCAAGAGCCAAATGAAACAGGCAGAATACACATGATCACATTTTAAAAATGCAAAAACAGAAACTTAAGAGTGACTTGAATTGATGGTCATGGGTCCCTAGTCTTTTTAATTTTAATTTGGGTAACAGTTGGGAAGTGGTAAAGGTTCTTTTTATCACAGTAGTGATACAAGTTATCTCAGCTATATTTCAGGGATTGAGCCATTGTTTGTGGGATGCTTTTGGGAATGGGGCCATTTGGAGGGGATTTCGGTGATAATATACTTTGAAACATCATCAAACTCTACACGTAAACTTTTCATAAATGATTTTTGTGGTAAGAATATTGGTGCAAAATATTTGCAGTGGTAAGAAGTAATGAGGGATTTTTTTGTGTGTCATAAAGACAAATTTTTGTTTTTTTTAAGACAGATTTTCACTCTGTTGCCCAGGCTGGAGCAGTGGCAGGATCTTGGCTCACTGCAACCTCCACCTCCTGGGTTCAAGTGATTCTTCTACTCAGCCTCCCGAGGAGCTGGGATTACAGGCATGACACCACCCCTGGCTAATTTTTGTATTTTTAGTAGAGACAGGGTTTCACCATGTTTGCCAGCGTGGTCTCAAACTCCTGACATTAAGTGATCCGCCCGCCTTGGCTTCCCAAGTGTTGACATTACAGGCATGAGCCACCTCTCCTGCCCTAAGACAAAGATGGAAAATAATAGTGTCATCATTTGATAAACAGTAATATATACTAAGGTAAATGAATAAACACAGTTTATCTTAAATACCTGGAGCCTTTTCCCAGGCAAGTGACCTTTTTTTTTTTTAATGAAAACTTTTATTAAAAGAATAATTTTTGAATAGTAAATACTTTTGTAGGAAATTACTACTTTGAATTTTGTTTTAAATAGTAGACACCCCTTTATCTTCTCCTACATTTAGTTGTTAACCGTTTTGCCACATTTGCTTTCTTCCTTATGCATATTCTTCAGAATTTTTTTCTAGCTTTAAACTCTGGCTTATGTGGTTTTAAATACAGTTTCTCCTGTTCCCTCTTTGTTTGAATTACCTGGTATTTCTTGTGCTTGTTGTGTATGTCTGTTGAAAATGGCACATTTCCACATTTTAATGCTTTAACTAATTGGATAATAATAGCACTTATATTGATTTGATTTTCCCTTCCTTACCTATTTATTTTACATTATTATTTTCTCTGTTTCTTATTGTCTCTTATTATCAAGTTATGATTAAAGTCCTTTACTCCATCTCCCAGTTAATGTAGAAATTTTATTATAATGTCATGTTTCATTAATAGTTAATACAGGTTGAGCATCCCTAATCTGAAAATCCAAAATTTGAAATACTCTAAAATATGAAACTTTGAGTATTGACATGACCCACAAGTGGAAAATTCCACTCCTGGCCTCATGTGATAGGTTGCAGTCAAGACTTTTGTTTCATGCCCAAAATTATTTAAAAGCTTGTCTGAAATTATCTTAGGTTATGTGTATAAAGTTTATATGAAATGTAAATGAATTTTATGTTTAGACTTGGGTTCTGTCCCCAAGATAGGATTATATTCTAAAATCTGGAAAAAAAAAAAATATTCCAAAATCTGAAAATCTCAAACACTTCTGGTCCCAAGCGTTTTGGATAAGGGATTCTCATCCTGTGCCCCTTTTCCTGTACTTGTACTTATTTCTCCTATATGAAAAACAAGATTTTCAACCCTTACTCTAGCAAAATGAAACCTTCAGATTGTTTTTACTTCTTTTCTTTCCCCCTTACGTCCTAATTCCAGAAGATCTTAGAACATTTCTGGGGACTCAAATTCTAGATTTTTGCTGAGTTAATTTAGTTCTTTTGATTTTGGCATTTTTCTTCCAGTTTTGTTAAATATTAATAACTAATATTCTTTCAGTTAGAATTTGTCTGATAAATCTTTTTTTAACCTTTTATTTTAATAAATAGGGCAACATAATCTGTACTGTTTTTTAAAGTTACAATTACTGGCCAAGAGTGGTGGCTCATGCCAGTAATCCCAGCACTTTGGGAGACCAAGGTGGGCAGATCATCTGAGGTCAGGAGTTCAAGACCAGCCTGGCCAACATGCTGAAACTGTATCTACTAAAAATGCAAAAATTAGCCAGGTGTGATGCCAGGCACCTGTAATCCTAGGTTCTCAGGAGGCTGAGGCAGGAAGGAGAATATCTTGAACCCGGGAGGCAGAGCTTGCAGTGAGCCGAGATCATGCCATTGTATTCCAGCCTGGGGGACAAGAGCGAGACTTTATCTCAGAAAAAAAAAAAACCAAAAAACTGCAAGATAGTCAGTGTATCCACAACTGCAAGTCATTGATTTGTTTTTATTTATTTACAAGAATCAATATTTTACAAAACTGAATTTTAAGAGTTGGTATCATTCTTCCTCAGAAATTGAAGTAATTTAAAAAATACTTTGGCAGTAGTGGAATAGCTAAGATCTGAACATTTAAAATTATCCTCCTAGCCGGGCGCGGTGGCTCAAGCCTGTAATCCCAGCACTTTGGGAGGCTGAGGCGGGTGGATCACGAGGTCGAGAGATCGAGACCATCCTGGTCAACATGGTGAAACCCCGTCTCTACTAAAAGTGCAAAAAATTAGCTGGGCATGGTGGCATGTGCCTGTAATCCCAGCTACTCAGGAGGCTGAGGCAGGAGAATTGCCTGAGCCCAGGAGGCGGAGGTTGCGGTGAGCTGAGATCGCGCCATTGCACTCCAGCCTGGGTAACAAGGGTGAAACTCCGTCTCAAAAAAAAAAAAAAAAAAAAAAAATTATCCTCCTAAATAATAAAATATA